GGGGAATGGGATCAAAAACAGTGGGAGAAAGAAAATACACTAGACTATGGTGTTGGCACATGGGTGATTTGGTGATGGGAAGCCCAAGGGGATTGCAACTGACATGAAAAAATACACAAACAAAATTATATATATATATAAATTAGGATACAAATTTTTACATTTTTTAATTTCAAATCCAAATGACAGTAAATCTATGAGGAGACATAATTACTACAGGATCCAGAGTAATTAAAATCCCATAATCAATTTAATTGTCTCATGTTGGCCTATATAGAAAGTCAAAGTGAAAATGTGTTGGGTGAGCACTGAAGAAGGTAGACAAGAATCTAAAAGCATGCAGATCCACAAAAGGGGTAGATACAGATCCAAAAGCTTCAAAGTTGGTTGGTATGACTTGGCAAGAGAGCAAGGATGCCACAAATCTATTGTTTTACACATCCTTTCCCCTCCAGAGAACAGAACATTACCACCAATGCTTAATTCTACAGCTTACTTCTTTCCTACCATACTCATTTTTCCAAATTCATATTGACATTTAATTTTCCAGGGGGATTACCATCAAATCCTACAGGCCCAGGGAAAAATCTGTCTATGTTGTAGAAGACTCTGCTATGTGTTATCTCATAAAAGAATTTTCAGGTTCTTGGGGGCATCTCAAAACAACTGTCAACTATAAACTCTCAAGCAAATGATGATAATGACACCAGATTCACGTCCTTTCATGCACTATGGATTCTTCAGAAGACTAACAAACACCCCAGGGCCCTCAGTGCTCATTTGGGCATTTGACATCCATTCATAGAGGCATCCCTCTTCTTAAAAGACAAGCTGCACAGAGCAAACCTTGGCAGGCACCCATCTAGACCCATCACTAAAAGGAATAGAAAGAGCAAGACTCAACAATGTCTTCTGAAACAGCTCTATCAGAGTTGTGCTCTCCAAGGTATGTGATGTCTTCAAAACAGCCAGAATCAAACCAGACTCCCCAAATAAATTTGGCCAGACTTTTATTGAAAAGAATAAGGAAAAGCCTTTTCCTTGTTTAGGTCAAATATATTGAGTAGGCAGTGATCCAGGAACTCAGAATTCCAACTACATAAAATATGCCATGCTTAGTGTTTATAATATCCCATTTCATTGTTATTTTTCCTTTTCCCTCCCCCCAGCAGAAAGGCAGCCTTGTTTCCCAAATTATGATTTGCTTCAATTAATGAAAAAATTACTTAGTATTTCCCAAGCACACACAGAACCAGCAATTTTACCAGACCAAATTCTGCCCATTTTTATAAAACAGCCGAATTTTATTTCTAGACCTTTGAAAGATTAAGAACTTTAACAGGAGATTTCATATAGCTTTTAGCTACTGAATGTGCTACAAGAAAGTGTCACTTTGTATTCCTAAAGAAGAATATATAAACAATTTCCTCCTGAGGACCAGTTCAGCTACTAGTAATAATTTTCATTTTCAGCAAGGTCTTTATTGTTCAGGGG